GAGAGGGGGAGGCGGGGGAAAGGAAGTGGGTGTTAACAAACCCATGGACAAGGGAACAAAAGGTAATCTAAAATAAATGGCAAGGAAGGAGTAGGATGCCTGGTAGGGCTTAATCAAGGGTAATGTAGCCAAGAGGAATTAATGAAAGCCGAATGAAGGCCAAACATGATGGTGGGACAAGAGGAAAGTAAAAGGAAATAGAGGAAAGAACTAGGAAGCAAAGGACATTTATAGAGGTCTAAACACAGGCATGTACATATGTAAATATATTTATATATGATGGGGAAATAGATCTATGTACATATATCTGTAGGTTAGTATTAAGGTAGCAGATGGACATAGGGACTCTACTCAAGTACTCCCTCAATGCAAGAACACTGTGTTTTATTAACCTGGCATTCTATAATGCTTACCTTTCCAATACAATCGCCAAAGACAACGCAGGTGCATAAGCAAATGTGGTGAAGAAAGCAAATGGTACCTGGCTATCAACAGATACAGTGTCTGGGGTCTTAAAGGCTTGAAGATAAACAAGCAGCCATCTAGCTGAGAAGCAAAAAAAGCCCACATGGAAGAAGCACACCACCAGCTTGTGTGATCACAAGGTTGATAGGCAGTATCAGGCATCAAAGAACAAAAAAAATCATATCAAAGTGAATGAGGGGGAAGGGTGTAGTGGAGACCCAAAGCCCATCTGTAGGCAACTGGACATCCCCTTACAGAAGGGTTGCAGGGAGGAGATGAGCCACTGAGGTACAGGATAGCACCAATGAAACATACAGCTCTCCTCTAGTTTTTAATGCTTCCTCCCCCCAACTATCATGATCTAAATTCTACCTTACAAATCCGGCTAGACCAGAGGCTGTACACTGGTACAGATAAGAGCTAGAAACACAGGGAATCCAGGACAGATAAACCCCTCATGACCAATAATGAGAGTACCTTCCCTTACCAGGAGGGGAAGGGGAAGGTGGTGGGAGGAAGAGGGAACCGATCACAATGATCTACATATAATCCCCTCCCAGGGGGATGGACAACACAAAAGTGGGTGAAGGGAAACGTTGGACAGTGCAAAACATGACAAAATAATAATAATTTAAAAATTATCAAAGGTTCATGGGGAGGAAAGGTGGGGGGGGGATGAGGAGCTGATACCAAGGGCTCAAGTAGAAAGAAAATGTTTTGATAATGATGATGGCAACAAATGTACAAATGTTCTTGACACATGGATGTATGTATGGATTGTGATAAGGGTTGTATGAGCCCCCAATAAATAAAATCATCAATAAAATGATTAAACAAGAGAAAAAACTGGTTTCAAAAGTAAAATTAAATAAATAAAATTAAACTTAAAACAAAAGCATTCCCTTATCATTTTATGAGAAAATAGGGAAGTGTAAAAATTTTCCCAAATTAAAATAACTATAATTGTATTATACACTAGCCTAAAAGTTAACAATATTATATGAGATCAATATGTTTTCCTTTTTATTCTAAAGACAATTGGAAGTTGTCAAAAATAACATGGAGCCTACACTCGGTCAAGGGCTTTGAAACGCTAGAATCGAGTGGTTTCAGTTTGGTTTTATGTCAAGAGCAACAGAGCAGCTTTTTTCAAGATTAAAAATGACAACTAAGAAAATGACTACTTTCACTGCTGTGAAAGATACCACATCAGCAGCAACTATAAACACTAAAACAATATTAAAAGTCTTTCAACAACACATGCAGCACTGGAGGCTCTGTGCTAAGAAGCTACCGGGCCAACAGACTGGACAAAATCCATATTCATGTCCATGCCAAAGAATCACCATCTAACGTACGATGGACTTTATCAAACAATATCATTGATATTACAAGCAAGTAAAATTTTGGTCAAGAAAAATTTTAAATGTTTGCATGGCTTCTTGGCCAAGTTCAAAGGTGAAAAAAAGTTGCAGCAGTAAATCAACAGGAATTCAAGCCAGATTCAGCAGAGGAAGTGGATCAAGGGATATCACTTATGACAAATGGATCTTGGCTGATAACAGAATACCAGAAAGATGTTTATCTGTGTTTTAATGACTGTGGAAAGGCATTAGATTGTGTGGATCATATTATGAATTACTGCAAAGAATGAGGAATCCAGATCACCTAAATGTGCTTACGAAGAACCCATTCATAGACCCAGAGGCAGTTGTTCAAACACAAGGGCATACTAGGTGGTATACATTTTACCATATGAAGAGGCTTCAAAAAATTCATGGAAAAATAGAATTTAGAGAGAATGGATATTTCCCACAAACTTTCTAAAGCCCCTGTTGTTTATTCAATCGGTATGCTGAGCGAATAATACGAGCAGCTGAACTATATGAATAAGCAATGCATCAGGTGTGGAGGAGGGCTAATTAGCAACTTGGAATATGCAGATGACATAATCTTGCTTGCTGAAAGTCTAGAGCTTAAAGGACTAACTGATGGAGATGCAGGGATTACAGCTAAACATAAGGAGAACAAAACCCTTCATAGCCAAGTCATGATCCAACATC